GAGGAATTCACACTTTATTTTAGCAGTGTAGTTTTCAAACACAAACATTTGGGCTGTCTGCTTATACATTTTTGTCTCGTGCAGGGGCCAGCCCAGATGAGCAAACTGCGTTCAGTATTGCCTCTCCTTATCCTGCTCCCACCCTCCCTGCGTTCACAATCCCAACCTTCTTTGTTTTGCACAAGCTACATATTCAGAAGGTGAAAAAAATAAGTGCTTTGCTCGTGATAGAAAGGAAAACAAACAATACACTCCACATCAAACTGTGTCATGTATCCTCTCCCCAGCAGAGCCCCAAGTATCACAGTTACTCGGATTCCAGCAGCGCAAGCACAGAGGGAGGGATTAATTAAAACTAGTATATGTTAATGGAGCTCTAAACCTGAGTTCACATTGGCTTAACAGAAAATACCATGGCATTAAACTCGCCCCCTCGGGACGTCAGTGAGAGGCTGCACTTCCTAGGGGTGCGGTGCTCCTGGATCTCTAGAAGCTGCCCTGCCCTCGCCCTGCCTTTACTTACCCCTTGCCCGACAGCCGCAGCATGCTGATCCTCTCGGCAGCCTGAGGACCAAAGAAAGCGTTTCCCTGTTTTCCCTTATATATCTGAATCAGAACAGACCTGGGGTCCCGTCCAGTGCACCGAAATTCCCTTCGATGGGCCACAGAGGAGTGGCCGGTTGGTCACCACTACCTCCAGTTAGCTGAAGCCTTGCAAGGCTTAGTCCCAGGCGCAGGCTGAGCTCTGCTTGCCTGTCCTGAAACGTTTTAATAAATCCTCGAATGCTGCAAAAGCTAAAGGGAGTGAGAGGAAGGCCATTTTTGCTGCCTGTGCTTTAAAAAGGGCGAATGATGTGAGCCAGGGAAATGTTTCCTGTGCTCAGAACAAAACAAGGGGGTTTAGTTTTGAAAGGTGAGGCTGACGTGGCTGTAGGAAGAAAAGCAGCTCGAGGTAGAGCTGGCGGCCCCAAGGGATGCCCAGTGGGGTTGTGAGGGACAGTAGCCCCGTGTGCTGCGTGTTTGAGACATCTCTGCAGGCGGGGAATATGTGATAAAGTTTTGCAGGCATGGCCAGGGCTGCTGAGCTAACCTGTGCTGCAGGTGGTTCCCTCCCAGTAAGCTGCAGCCTCCGCACAAGCGAGGCGTGCTAAGCCAGGGGCTGCTGCTGGGACTGTTCCACCCTTCACCATCACTTCATTTCTCTAGTGGAGGATGAGCTTTGCCTCTGGAAGCGGCGCGGTTGGGTGGTGGCAGGTTTGGGGTGTTTGTCCGGAGCCAGAGAGAACGGTCGCGGTGACGGGGGGGGACACGTGCCGGGCCCAGGCAGACCGCCGACGTGTCCCCGAGCTCCCGCCCCCCCAGAGGTGACAGCAGCTTTTTGTGCTCTCTAAAACACTGCCTGGCTTTCCTGCACTTCTGAAGTTCACAAGGTAAGATCCTGATGTTGTGTTGTTAAATTTTCAACGTCTCCATTCACACCAGAAAGCTCTTCTGTTCAGAGGGATTTAGAATAATACAACTCTTCATGAGTCCTCATTATTTCTCAAAAGGTGAATGTGTTGTTCAAGTGCCCATATTGTGACAAGCGTCTAATTATGGATCCTTTCTGTAGACCCCCATAGATGCTATTATGTCCACCTTTAGTAGAAGGGGGAAGATTATAATTTGCATTCAGCTTGAGTTTTTCTCTATTTTTTCCACTGCACATAAATAAGGAAAACAAATCTTATCGACCACTGATCTTCTTTTCATTTACCTTACATTACGTTTTTTAAAACAGCAGTTTTGCTTTGCTTCTTGTCCTCAGAGTATTGTTGTTTGCTACTCCAGCGGTAGCGTGTCTGTTCTAGTCCAGTCCAATTGGATGTGCACCTTTGTTGGGCAATTGGCAAAAATATCTTGGCTAAAAGGGCTTTTCAACCTTTAAAAAGAAAAGTATGGCTAGAGGGGATGACACACCCAAAGATAAAAGCTTGATCAATAAATACAAGATTGGTATTTATTCACTTGACTTTTCCTTTCTCTCTTTTTTTCATTTTTTTTTTTATGTGCTTTTCCCCTCTTGTCACTACCTTTCTGATGGTTGAAATTCTCAGACTTCTAAGTCAAAATGCCTCCCCATCCATCTCTGTTTACAATTGTAGATAAGAACAGTTTTGAGAAGAAAATACCTAGATACAGTGTGCATTTTGGCACAAGCTAATATCTGAATTAAAGGAGGTAAGTAACAAATGTATACCCCTCCCACAGTTGGATATGAGCAGGCAGACTCTGTCTCCCCATGAGGCTGTCCTGTGTTTTTCACTGCATTTCATAATTACTTCCACTGACAAAATCCCTGAAGAAACAGAAGGAGGACAGAGGTATAAGCTTTGGGAGGTGGAAAGACGTCATTCTGCTTCTCTTTTTCTCTAATGACAAGTCTCTTTTGGACCTTTGCAGGAGGATAACATCTGCAAATGTTTTGGTTTCCCATGTTTTGTCTCCTTTTTGCATAATGCAAGTGATAAAATATAGCATTTAGCACAGCAGAGCCTGGTTTGTATTTGCCCCCATCCTGTTTCTAATAGCATTAAGCTCAATGCGTAGAAACTCTGGAGAAAGGAGGCAGACCTGGGCAGGGAAAGGATGGACCTGTTCCATGAAAAATTACGGGATCGCAGGGTGGTTTGGGTTGGAAGGGACGTTTAAAGGCCATCTAGTCCCACCCCCCCGCCATATGACTCATACCAGTTCCCTTGAAACATTTAGCAGCCAAATCAGTTTGTTAGACTACTCAGTCCCACAACAAGCACTTCATAATTTCATAGAATCATAGACAAACAGAACGGTTTGGGCTGGGAGGGACCTCAAAGCCCCCCCAGTGCCCCCCCCCTGCCCCGGGAAGGGCCCCCTTCCCCCAGCCCAGGGGGCTCCCAGCCCCGTCCAACCTGGCCTTGAACCCTTCCAGGGAGGGGGCACCCACAGCTGCTCTGGGCACCCTGGGCCAGCGCCTCACCATCCTCATCTTCCTTATAGCTTATCTAAATCTACACTCTTTCAGTTCAAAACTATTGTCCCTTGTCCTATAGACCTTGATAATAAGTCTTTCTCCAGCTTATAAGCCCCATAGATATTGAAAGACCACAACAAAGTCTCCCTTCTCTTCTCCAGGCTGAACCCCCCCAACTCTCTCAGCCCGGCCCCCCAGGGGAGCTGCTCCAGCCCCCCCAGCATCTCCGTGGCCTCCTCTGGCCCCGCTCGAGCAGCTCTGGGTCCTTCTGCTGTTGGGGGCCCCCGAGCTGGCCCCAGCGCTGCAGGGGGGTCTCCCCAGAGCGGAGCAGAGGGGGAGAATCCCCTCCCTGGCCCTGCTGCCCCCCCTGCTCTGGCTGCAGCCCAGGGCACGGGTGGGTTCTGGGCTGCCAGGACATATTGTTGGTTCATATCCATCTTTTCATCCACCAGTACCCCTGAAGTTCTTCTCTACAGGGCCACCCTCTTATTTTTTTGTGGTTTGTTTTTTGGTGTGTTTTTTTTTTTGTTTTTTTTTTTTTTTTTATTTTATTATTTCTTTGGTCAGTCTTTGACTTGGCGTTTTATTCCTGTTGTATCAGGGCAAAAAACAGTGGTTAACAATGCATCCTACAAATGCAGCTGTTAAAACTTGTTTCAAGTCTATCCAGCCATTTTTGCTTTAGGAAACGGAAGCAATGCTGTGTTGTTGGTATGCCATGCATAAAAAAAGATCAGTGCAAAATGGTTTAAAAATAGAAAACTGATCTGTGTCTCTCTGGCACGTACTGCTCTATGGTTCTTTGACTTTCCTTTAGAACAAATCCACAGAGATTTTTTGGAGGTGTGTTGGAATTGTGTATTCTAGTGAAGTTCTGTCAAAGGTTTTTGCAGACACCCTTGTCCCTACCACATCTGCTTGTAGACTTCATGAACTCAACTTTTGTGCCTGCACAGAGGTGCCTGGTGGCATATGAAATGCTCTAGGATGGTGCTTGCAGCTCCAGCTAAGACTCTCGCAGGTCCTGGGTGTCTTACAGTTCTGCTGTCATACCTTCCACCTGGTCTAGATGGCTGAGCTACCCTACTGCATCGCAGATGCCACTGCCTGCCCGTGGCTAGGAAACAGATTGGGCATCCTGGATCATTTTTGCTGTTATCGACAAATGACTTTTCATGGCACACTCTAGAGGCGTAAATGTAATTTGCATGTAAAGTCGTCACTAGTATTCATGGTTTAAGTCAAAGGGAACTCAAATTAGTGAATTCAAGCAATGTTTTGTCATGTGTTTGGGAAATCATCCTTAGGTTTGTCATATTTAAAATGGATGAAGGCTGTAATAGCATGTTGGTGAAACACTTGTGTGCCCAACATGCACTGTGAGATGTCATTTCCCTCTGTTGTGCAAATCAGTATTTTCACCTAAATAACGTACTGTAATAGCACGCACATCTGTGGGGTTATAGGGTGGCTTTAATGCAGTTTCACTTGGGAAGTTGGAGAGGAGAAGATGTGATGAAGGCAGCAGTCGCTGGAAATATCCGTCTTGTATTTCCAGCTCACGGCTGTCATTTTGGATTATTTGTGCCAGGTACAGCAGCTGTCACTGAGTCTTTCTCTGCTCAGTGAGGTGGAGATTGTTTTGATATCTCTATTTTAGTCAGCTGGGCCATGAAAAATTAGTGCAGAGGCATGTTACATCTCTCCAGCTTGCCTTTGCTAGGGGTTCAGTTAATTTTTCCCCTCCCATGCCCACACCTGGGCCACAGATGCCACTGAGGAGTGAGTTAACAATAAAGGCAAGCCATTGCCATGAATCCTTTAAAAAAGTGGATGGAGGCAAATAATTCCAAACTGTGTTTCTGGAAGAAGATATTTAGCAAAATGACTCAAAGCACAGGGGGAGAAGGCGGTTGCAGGCTGGATCTCAACACTCGGCTCCAAAACTGGCTGCCTGATCACTCTCTGGTTCCTTTGTCTTCCCCGTTTTTGTTCCTGTCTCCTACAGGCAAAGCCTACGCGCCCGAGTTCTACTACGACACCTACAACCCCCTGTGGCAGAACAGACCCCGCGTCTACTCCTACAGTCTCCAGTGGACCCAGATGAACCCCGATGCCGTGGACCGCATCCTTGCCTATCGCTTAGGGATCAGGCAGGTGAGGAAAGAAATTGGTGCAGGATGTGCCTTTTGAGTCTGCTGACCTCTGTGAAGACTGCCAGGCCTTGATTTTATTTTATTTAATTCTAAATTTTATTATTTTATTTTTATTTTATGTTATTCTATTTTATTTTTAAAACTTATTTTACTTTTTTTTTTTTTTCCTTCCTCTTTTCATCTTCTGTGAGTCACAGTTGTTTCTCCTCCTTCTGGAAGGTTTTCTGCCATCTTGCAGAGGTAGTCCTTTGCTGCTTGCAGATCCTGGAAACTAATTTGCACATTTGCAGTGTGAAATGCAAAGATTAAAGAGCTGCTCCTCAGAGGGTTTGCAGAGGCTGTGGCTCAAGATATGCTAGAAAGATTACATGAAAGAAACTTGCAGTGAAATTAAACGTTTTTTCTCTCTGTATCTACCTATAAATCCTTTATTAGATGTTCCATGTAAATAGGTAAATATAGGGATAGCTGTAGCTTTGCTATGGAAACATGTGGTGATCCCTGAGAACGAAGACATCTTTCCTGACCCCATTAAAGCCGATCACAGTTGTGTCTTCATAGATTCACTGTGAACTTTTCAATGGGAATTGGCACTGTTAAGGAAGTGTGGGACCAACTGACTTGCAGAGGAATTGTTAAGTTAACATAGCCATCCCCATTAATTTTCCCTTTAACCATTCTAAAAGAAAAATATCATCTGTCTTCTTTGAAGGTTATTGCTACAAAACTTCAGTTTTACTAGTCAATTAAAATGAAAGACCCAATCTGTGCATTGCTTAACCTCTCGTTAAATGGCAACACTTCTGCTTATTGCCCTTCGCAGAGCAAAGTGATCTTTGTTTGCACTTGAGCTTTCCTACAGCAAAGCCCATATAAAATCTCACAATTTTACGTTCTAAAGGCAGAAAATTGTGCTGTAACATTCTTTCGTGATCCTGTCCAGAGTCTGACCAAGCGAAGCACTACAGGTGTGCCAGTCTGGCACTGACAGCTTGGCTTTTGGCCTTTCTTGTCTTTCTCAAGGGAAAATGCATGGTTTGGAAATAACGCTCCTTGCTACGAAGGAGCTCCTTGCTCCTTGGCCACCATGTCCACCTCCAAGTAGTATCTTACCAGTTGGGCTGCCAGTCTTGGGGTCTGGCTGAGGCATGTCGTGCCTTGCCTTGCCTTGCCTTGCCTTGCCTTGCCTTGCCTTGCTGTGTCGTGCCATGCCATGCCATGCCATGCCATGACATGCCATGCCATGCCATGCCTTGCCTTGCCTTGCTGTGCCATGCCTTGCCTTGCTGTGCCATGCCATGCCATGCCTTGCCTTGACTTGCCTTGCCTTGCCATGCCATGCCATGCCATGTTTTCCTGTGCCATGATCTGACACTCTGTGCCATGCCACGCTGTGCCATGCCATGCCGTGCCGTGCTGTGCCATGCCCAGGCAGGGTCTCAGGGCTCCCACCACCCCTGCTCCTCAGCATGTGCCCCGGGCTCCCGCACCCAACCGGGACCTGCTGCAATCGAATGAAGACGTTTTGCTGCTTACTCGTGAGAATCCATCTGATATTGTTTTGGTCTTGTTTCACACTCTCCCGTTGATCTTGCTTTTCTTCAAATAATACTACAATCGATTGATTTAGAAAGTATGTGTTTGGTTATTTAATGCCTGAAATAATAGTTCGTGCAGGAAGAAAGAGATCGGGGATTAAGACAGATTCTTGAAGACATATATTTTTGAAAATGTGAGTGCAGAAAGTATTTTCTTATCTTGCAGATCTCCTACTGGGATGAGTATTGTAAGCTGCAAAATAAATATACAATCTGACCATGTTATTTATGCTGAGTGGATAGGGGTTTTTCCTTGTATAACTGGTAGCTGTGGGATTGACTGGGACACATCCAGGGAAGGGCTTTTATACCTGGAGAGTGCTGGCTCTCCTTCACTCAGAGTTTGTCTCTGCCCGAATCTAACTAATTTGAAATTAAAATTGATAACTTTTAGTACGTGCTTGCATCATTGTGCACAAATCAGTTCTGTTATTCCTAGTACCCGAGAGAAATTATTAAATTAAAAAAATAAAATTGCTGAAGTAAAACAATATATAATTAAATTAATTGCATTGGTATTTGAGCTTCTTCTTTTTTTTTTTTTTTCCATTTCATTTTACTTTACTTTTAATTATCTATTTATATAATTATCTAGAGTTACTTTAATTTCCTTGACAACACTCTCTGTCAGGCTAATCAAAATGTTTTCCTTGCATCTATTTGAAGCAACATTTAAAACGTGGGTGATGTAGAACCTAGTGAGCTGTCCGGACACACTAGTCCATATTGCAGTAATTCCCCCTGAAACAAGGGTAATAACTAAGCTTCTTATTTTTTTGGCACCTACCGGTACTAAGTACCAGCAAACTGCCTTCTGAACTGTTTGTGTTTAGATAGTTTATGTGACTTAGCAATGTATTTTTTACTGGGTTTTGCTATGGTTTTTATTTAATGACAGAAGTGGGGATGAGCATCCTTTGGGAGTGGTGGGAAACACCGCTTGGGCTGTGCAACGTTCATTGCAGAATTAGGGCCAGAGGGTTTCCCAGCCGAAGCGAGGGTCAGGGCTAGAGCCTGCAGCCCAGCACACTGCTATTACAAAAAGTGACTGCGCTTAATCTTTGTTTTGATCTTATCATGTGTTGCAAAACACTGCCAGTGGGCTATGCAGTGGGTCAGTGCGTTGGTATCTGCTTCTTATTCGTTTAACACCATTGCCTCAATCTGATCAGTAAACTGCTTTTGTATTAAGAATGCCAAAATCAGAGCGCAAGATCCTCATGCTCTTTACCTGATCTGTACATTGCTGCTTCACTTCAAACAGAATCCAGGTTTTGGGAATATTTAGTTGACAACAGGTTCAGGCTTGCTGGATTTTCTGTGGAATTGTTAAAGCCTGTAATACTGACAATATTTTTAATGCCATTTTATAAAAGCAAGAGTTTCCTGTGAGACACAGAGTGGTTTAGCTCCATTTCTGTATTTGCCAGGTGGTTGTAGAAAGCAACACAAAGGATGTGCTTAAAAATGAAACTTTTAAAGGGCAAAGGAGCCTGATAATAGAAAGTGGCAAACAAGGGATTTTCCTTAAAGACAAATTGTTCTGCTAAAAGTAATTAGATTTAGATTATACAGCTCTATAACAACAGGAAAGTCTCTCCACTGGTTGGCATAGAGTGAGATTGTAGGGCTGGAGATGTCTCTGCCTTGACCAGCTCAGGCAAGCAGAGCTGTGCAAAAGCTTTGCTGGCAACAGAAACTACGGGAGAGAAAAGGCCAGTGCGAGAGGTACAGTGCAGGCAGAAAGCAGGTGGAACAGAGATGCTGAAGCAAAGGAGCCGTGCTGTGCTGTGTGGGGTGCATGCAGTGAAAATAATTCAGTTCTGTTTACATAGAGGTACGAGCAGGAGGTGCGAGCTATTTCACCGTGGATGCCTGGAGCAGCTCTTGCACTGCTGGGACCATCAGGATTCTGTGGTTGCTCTGTAACATTGAAAAGGAATATTTTAAGAACAAAACTCATCAATTTAAGAAGTGAATTGAAATTCTGTAATAATCACTACATTTATATGTATGTTATCTACATGTCTTTCATTAAGATAATTTTATAGCTCTCCCCCCACCCCTATATTTAAAGCTACAAACTTCACGTAGAGCACTCTGAGGGCGAGCAGAAGTTAGTTTGGTCGCGTTTGTCCTGCTGGTATGTCAGTGTCTGATGGAAGCTCCCTCCTGGGAGAAACGGGTTATTTAGAGCACTTGGCTTTCTGCTTAAGCCCAGACGCTCCTGTTGTTGCCTTTTGGGGATTCATTCCATGCTTCACTTTATTTTTTAACAGGCACGGGCTCTTGTCTGCCTTTCTGTTTGCTGCAGTGCATGGACAGTGGCTTCCTGGTGCTGGGGTTTAATCGGCTTTGAGGATGCTGAGCCGCAGTGTCTGCCAAGCCTGCTGTGACGGAGCATCTAGCCGCCAAGCAGTGTGCATGGCTGTGCTCCTCTTTAATTGAACACTGACAAATGACTGTTGTAAAAAATGAGTCGCTAACTAAATGTCCATAGAGTTTACTTTTTGAGAGAGCTGCTGTTCCTGTGCTTTGATAGCGCTCAGAGCCCTCGAGCGTGTCTTGAGGAGGCAGCACAGCTCTGCAGTTATGCATCCAGTCCCCGTCCCTCCACGGAGTTATTACAGATGTGGTTCTCTCCTCATGGAAAATTCTGGCTTGTTCACTTAGAACAAAATTCATTTAGTCGATGAGAGGTAATAGCATGGGACCTGGGCTGATTTGCAGTTCTTGTAAGACCAATCTAGCCAATTTTGCAGGGTAAAAGGAACTTGAAGTGGTTGGTCCCTTTGCCAAAAGGAGAAAAGCCCTTGAGGGCAATGGATTCAGCCTACAGCCAGTCCTGCTGCCAACCTTCAGCATAAAGTAAGATTCAGAAGGTGGCAGAGAAATACCACCGTGTATATAGTATCTATTTCTCTTAGGCTGCCAGAGACAAAAAAAAGCAAAGATTAAAACATTAATTTCACTACTATCCATTCTCCTGCATGTTTCCTAAATTTAGAGAGTGTAATGGTGGTGGACAACTACCTTGGCACATCTGAGCATGTGCAAGTACATCTGCAGTCTCAGTTCCACATGGCAAAGAAGGGGAAGAATGAGTTGCACCCATCCATTTTCCCACATAGTTTTCATGAGCTTTTTTCCAGGCAGGCAATCATAAAAGGACACATTCCTGACACAAAAGCAGCACATGATTCTAGTACTTCAGAGTATCAGTAACAATTTTCCCACTGCTGAAGGGAAAATCTGAATACAGATCTGAGCAGAAAAAGAAGAGACACGTGGAGCCTAAACAAAGGTCCGTTTAAGATGCTCATTTACGATTACCACAGTCTTGTATGGCAGAGTAATTTGTAAATTAGGGATACAGGTGGAGCAGGGTGTAGTCAAGAGGAAT